TGTATTGAACGAAGGTTGTGAGGATTACGCCTGCAGCGTACCTCCCGTGTTTTGCGAGTGTTAGTAACAACAGGAATTAGAAAACACATAATAAAAGTGCACTGACAACAAAAAAAATAAGTGTAAAGTAAAACAACAAAGTAAAGTACTCAAGTGCTTTGTCGGTGTCTTTGCTCGGTGGAGTCGCGCAGGTAGAGTCGATGGTCTTTACCCTCGTCGGTCTTCACACGAGGCGGTCTTCACACGAGGCTGCCGCGACCGCTGCCGCGGTGAACTAGTTGTTTTTATAACCCCTAAAGCACTAGCTGATTGAATTCAGCTGGACACGCCTCGAGAGTCAAAACAAGGGCCGAAACTGAGGCGGACGACGCGAACCGCGTCTGCGTTCGCTACACAAGCTCTTATAGTAACCAAGGAAACAGTGGCTAAACAACTTCTAGTATTATACACAACTGAAAGCAAGTTTAAATGTCCTACAACTTTACACAAACAGCTGGAAACAAGTCCTCAAACCATACACAACAACTGAAACAAATCTTAAATGTACTTACAGGCTGCTGTTCTAGATGCTGCTAAAGTGCTTCTCCTGCCGACTAATGCTACCGTGCTCACTATATAGTGGTTACCTGGCGTTTGGACACGCCTCCCGAGTCAAAACAAGGGCCGAAACTGAGGCGGACGACGCGAACCGCGTCTGCGTTCGCTACACAAGCTCTTATAGTAACCAAGGAAACAGTGGCTAAACAACTTCTAGTATTATACACAACTGAAAGCAAGTTTAAATGTCCTACAACTTTACACAAACAGCTGGAAACAAGTCCTCAAACCATACACAACAACTGAAACAAATCTTAAATGTACTTACAGGCTGCTGTTCTAGATGCTGCTAAAGTGCTTCTCCTGCCGACTAATGCTACCGTGCTCACTATATAGTGGTTACCTGGCGTTTGGACACGCCTCCCGAGTCAAAACAAGGGCCGAAACTGAGGCGGACGACGCGAACCGCGTCTGCGTTCGCTACACAAGCTCTTATAGTAACCAAGGAAACAGTGGCTAAACAACTTCTAGTATTATACACAACTGAAAGCAAGTTTAAATGTCCTACAACTTTACACAAACAGCTGGAAACAAGTCCTCAAACCATACACAACAACTGAAACAAATCTTAAATGTACTTACAGGCTGCTGTTCTAGATGCTGCTAAAGTGCTTCTCCTGCCGACTAATGCTACCGTGCTCACTATATAGTGGTTACCTGGCGTTTGGACACGCCTCCCGAGTCAAAACAAGGGCCGAAACTGAGGCGGACGACGCGAACCGCGTCTGCGTTCGCTACACAAGCTCTTATAGTAACCAAGGAAACAGTGGCTAAACAACTTCTAGTATTATACACAACTGAAAGCAAGTTTAAATGTCCTACAACTTTACACAAACAGCTGGAAACAAGTCCTCAAACCATACACAACAACTGAAACAAATCTTAAATGTACTTACAGGCTGCTGTTCTAGATGCTGCTAAAGTGCTTCTCCTGCCGACTAATGCTACCGTGCTCACTATATAGTGGTTACCTGGCGTTTGGACACGCCTCCCGAGTCAAAACAAGGGCCGAAACTGAGGCGGACGACGCGAACCGCGTCTGCGTTCGCTACACAAGCTCTTATAGTAACCAAGGAAACAGTGGCTAAACAACTTCTAGTATTATACACAACTGAAAGCAAGTTTAAATGTCCTACAACTTTACACAAACAGCTGGAAACAAGTCCTCAAACCATACACAACAACTGAAACAAATCTTAAATGTACTTACAGGCTGCTGTTCTAGATGCTGCTAAAGTGCTTCTCCTGCCGACTAATGCTACCGTGCTCACTATATAGTGGTTACCTGGCGTTTGGACACGCCTCCCGAGTCAAAACAAGGGCCGAAACTGAGGCGGACGACGCGAACCGCGTCTGCGTTCGCTACACAAGCTCTTATAGTAACCAAGGAAACAGTGGCTAAACAACTTCTAGTATTATACACAACTGAAAGCAAGTTTAAATGTCCTACAACTTTACACAAACAGCTGGAAACAAGTCCTCAAACCATACACAACAACTGAAACAAATCTTAAATGTACTTACAGGCTGCTGTTCTAGATGCTGCTAAAGTGCTTCTCCTCTATTAGCTATTACTGTTCACCAATAAAAGCCTGATAACCTGATAAAAAAAAACACCATATTATTTTAAAAACTGAAATATGGACTAATAAAATGCCCAAATTGTTTAAATTTTTTTTTACCTGCTTTCATCCAGACTTTTTTTGAGCTTGAAATGTATGCAAAATTGGAGCATATCTAATCAAATAGTGTCTCATTTAAATATTTAACTAAATAAAACATAAATAAAAATATATATTTTCACAACAATAAAATAATAATAAATGTAATATATCAACTAAGGAACTACAGTGATAATTATTAGTTGTTTTTAAACCCTTTCTGCATACTCCGTCTTGCCGTGAGGAAAGAAAATACAATATTTTATGTCAAAAGATGTACAATATTATTATTAGTCGACTGTTCACCAATGAACACTAATAAAAACATACTATATTGTTTTAAAAACTGAAATATGGACTGACAAAAATATATTTAAAAATATATTTAATAAAAATTGCATTTAAATATTTAAACAAAATTAATAAAACAATGATAAACATTATGCATTGTAACAATAGAACAATTGTTAATCATTTTTAACATAATATATACAGTTTGTATGCTTAATGTATATAGTAGTTAACCGTTTACCAAAAATAATGATATTGTTAAAATATATAAAACATATATATTTAATAACAATAAAAAATGTTAGCCCTTCATTCACTTTATTTGCCTATTCTGCTTTGTCTTAATGAAGAAAAATACAATACTTGATGTCAAAAGATGTACAATATTATTAGTTAAGTTCACCAATAAACATTAATAAAAACCCACCATGTTGTTTTAAAAACTGAAATATAGACCGATAAAATATATATTTGATGGAATAGACTCATTTAAATATTTAAACAAAATAAATAAAACAATAATAAATAATAGAAGTGGTAACCATTCTTAACGTAATACGTAAAATATTTTAGTAGTTAATTGTGTACCAGTAAAATGAATTGTACTGTTAAAATCTATAAAACATATATATATATATATATATATATATATATATATATATATATATATATATATATATATATATATATATATATTTAACAACAATAAAAAATGTTAGCCATTCTTAATATATCCACATTTGCCTATTCTGTCTTGCCTTAAAGAACAGAAATACAATATTTGATGTCAAAAGATGTACAATATTATTAGTTAAGTTCACCAATAAACATTAATAAAAACCGACCATGTTGTTTTAAAAACTGAAATATAGACCGATAAAATATATATTTAATGAAATAGACTCATTTAAATATTTAAAATAAATAAATAAAACAATAATAAATAATACAAGTGTTAACCATACTTAACGTAATACGTAAAATATTTTAGTAGTTAATTGTGTACCAGTAAAATGAATTGTACTGTTAAAATCTATAAAACACACATTTATATATATATATATATATATATTTATTTTTTTTTTTTTTTAACTATATATATTTAACAACTATAAAAAATGTTAGCCATTCTTAATATATCCACATTTGCCTATTCTGTCTTGCCTTAAGGAACAAAAATATAATAATTGATGTCGAACGATATACAATATTATTAACAGTTAACTGTTCAACAACTATATAGTGTTAAATGTCCACTGAAGGTTGTCTACCCAGCAGTAACCCAGTGTTTCTCCGCCCACACGTGGCCTCTCATGTTTTGTACGGATTGAATATGTAGGTCACTCTCTGTCTGCTGCCGCTCTCACGTGGTACTGCAGAGAGTCTCGAGTCAGGCTAGTGTGCTAAATTATGCAACCGCAGCGCCTCGACCAATCAGAGATCAGCATGTGCCGCGTCACGGCCAATCAGCGGCGAGACGCCGACTCCTCGTACACACGGGCACATGGCTAGGCTACGGGAGCCATGTGAGCACGAGCCTTCTAGTACTCGGAGTACTGAGCGCGCGTGACGTCACGGGCACTCCTAACCCACATCCAGTGTTTGACTGCTCCAGGCTGCAGATCTGTCATGCAGACCACGGAAAGAGTGCCAAAGGTGATTTAAATCACCCAGTTTGACTCATAAGAACTAAACTAATCATTCTGATGTCATTTTAAAAGCTTTTAGTTATGGTATTAACTCTATTTATGATGACAGCTTTCCCGAAATATTACAGTGTTACATTAAATATGACTGACGTGCTGCTATTTATAGATATATTGACATTTACGCATTGATGTGTCTATTTAGATAGATAGATAGATAGATAGATAGATAGATAGATAGATAGATAGATAGATAGATAGATAGATAGATATTCTTTATTTTACGAATTCTTTTTAAATTATTTAAATTTTTTTAATGATTTAAATTTTATTTTTTTTAAACCATGCTTAAATATATACAAATATATGCACATATGCTGTATATACACACGATAGATGCATGCATTTATTACTAATGTCAAACAAAATATTAAATAACTTGCAATGCACACAAAATGGAAATGCAAACAACATTTAAAAATTAATCTATTAAATTATATAACTATAATAAATGTAGATATATTTAATTTTTAAACGTATATATAATTTATATTTATAATAAAATGTGAAAAATCGCTCATTCCTAATCAGAGATTTAATACATTAAATATTTGAAAACAATTACAAAAACATCCATTCAGCGTGCTTATCTTAAAACCATAAGCATATTAGAGATTTTTAATTTTGTTGGAAAACTGTCATCCATTTTGCACCCTTTATTTCTTATAATAATCAGAAGTACTGTATCAGACAATGCTAAATTAATTCCAAAATAAACAATAATGAATAAACGACGGTCCAATACCTTGCTTTGCCGATTCCATGTTTTCAGTCTTCGTTTCTCTGTGATTCAGCCGGACAGTAATAACTCCAGCAGGTAGAAGTTGCAGTGTGTGTGAGAGATAGATCAGATCCAGTGTGTTTATGTGTGTGTGTGTTCTGATAGTCAGTGCTCCATCTGAAGCGTCTCCTCCTCACAATGGTACGGAACTCCTGTCTGTGCACGAGCGCTCGGTACTCAGTGTTCTGCTGCGCGTGTTTCCGCCCGCGGCTCCGCCCCCTTTGTGCGCGCGCTCGACTCACGGTAACCCAGTGACACACTTTCTGTGACCCGTCCAGATATTATGGAGCTACATTTGCGACAAAATTATGTGCGCAAAAGATCATGTTTTAAGTGCGGGAATTGCCTTGTTGCACACGCTTTAACAATTCTGTGCATAAAAGATCATGTTTTAAGAGCACAAAATTGCTTCTTGCATATGCATTATTAACAATTCAGTGCACAAAAGATATTTTTTGAGCATGCAAAATGAATTTTTGATCATGTGAAATAGCTTGTTGCACATGCCTGAACAATTCTGTGTGTGAAAGATTATGTGTTGAGCTCTTAAAATGGCTTGTTGCATGTGTGTTTACAATTATGTGTGCAAAGATCATGTTTTGAGCGCACACAATGGCTTGTTGCACACACATTAACTCAGTTTTGAGGTTATTGTGGTCTCTTTTGTGTCGTCAGACTTACTTAGCATAAAAGTGTTATGATGTGATAGAAATCTAGTCAATCAGATGGTTTCTGAATGCTGATTGGCTAGCCTGACAACCCTTTACATTTTAAGTCAATGCATGGACGCGAATAGACATCCTGTGGCGCGATTTGCGTAAATGACACGCCACAAATGACACGGCACGAGTCGAGCGTGTTTGCTTTGCTTGACGCGCTTAACATGTGAATCGTGCTGATCGCTGGAGTTGGAAAATCTGAACTACAGCAGACATTCTCACCCCATTACCCAATCAGGAGCTTGCTTTTGTAGGGGCGTGATCACGACGTAGTGCATGTTGTTGATGTCCCGAGGGGAACTGACACTGACACCGGACAACAGCTCATCAAACAGTGCTCGGCTCAGTCTGAAGCACCGCTGAAAGCCTCCATTATACAGTTGTTGGAGGAATTGATGAACTCACAGAGCTGGGTGCACCTCTAAAAGGATCTAGTGGACTCAAACATGGCGCCGAATGAATCTACACTGTTTTTCAGCCCTCCTAAAGCACATAAAACACAGCTATTCTCTCAATAAAATCCATGTTAGCTAAAAAAAAATCCATGTTAGAAAAAAGCCCTGCCCATGACACGAATCTGCATCTATTGTGAAGTGAATTTCACACGTGAATAAAGTGAATTTGACTCGCAAATTAAGCGAGTACACTCATAATGTTCACACGAATAAATTTCGCTATTCGCACATGCTGGATCTGGTGTGAATAAAGCATAAGACTTTTAAGGGCACCTAGGTTACCCCTTTTTTTCAAATTTAATATAAGTCTTTTGCGTCTCTATAACGTGTATGTAAAGTTTCAGTTCAAAACACCCATTAGATTTTTCATTTTACCTTTTACTAGATCCTGTTTTATACATCTTTCCACCAGGGGGTCGTTTTGTTGTACTGCGCCTTTAAGGCGAGTCCTCTCCGCCTACTGTTTCTACGTGCCTGTCAGCATGCCTTATATCTCCTCCCTCAGCTGCGTCAGACAACAGACAGACTTAAAGGAAGAAGGTCTCACGCAGCGTTTGTGAGAAATACTACAGTAAGAACTTTACTAATGAGTATTTGTTGTGCAGTTGCATTGATGAGTCTCACGCAATATTGTTACAAAGTACACGCGCACACAAACACACACCGCAGCAGACACACACACACACACAGACAGACAGAGCGCGCTTAGCTTTGCACTGTTTTTGCACGCAAATGTGACAGGATACAGGCTAATCTCCACTGCTGTGTAGATATCTGTTATGTTAATGTACAAAATAAACCTGATTTAACTTCCACAAACCGGGATTGACTCGTCTTCCTGTATAATTGTTCTGACTCGTGGCTGTGCTGATGAAATAAAGCTGAAGTAAATCGCTGTACTTCATCACACACGTGCACTGTTTTAAACTGTTTTAAACTGTTTTGAACATTTTATACATGTGAAACTTATCCTTGATCATATTTGATGATGATTGATGATCCTAGCGAACTGAACAGAGCTTTTATTCCCGGTTGCTTTGCGCACGTCTGGTCTTGTTCACATGATTATACACGTGACTACCGGGACATGCTACGCGAAGCTGTCAATAAATTCGCTGGGCGGGGGGACCGCACTCCTACGTCAAGTTGCGGTCGGTCTGAAAACTGCTCCAATTGGTCCACTGTTTTTATGTTGTTAAATTGAAAAAAAAAAGGACTGGTTGTGTTTATTTTACCCCAATATGACGGTCTATACACTATATATATATACACACATGTCTGTCCAAACAGCTTGAAAAGTAAATTTTTCGCCATGGGTGCCCTTTAATAATGGACTATTTTGTATATTGGTAGTCTTTTCAGTAATTTATTATTATTGTTACTTTCTCTTATTTTAAAGTAATAAATTTATTTACTTTTCATATTTTTTTTACTTTAATTAATTTCTGCATGACATTATTGTCTTAATATATTATTTTCAGTAACCACTGTAACTCTACCTTTATTTAACATCAATGTAAATTTTCTTATTATTCATTCTAAGTGCTGTACTAATGACAATATGCAAACAGAAGTATAATAAAGATGCTCTGTAAACTGAATTTCTAAATAAATAAATGAAAACAAAATCTAAATATAATTATTTGGCTAACAATGGCATATACCCAAGTAAAATGGCTAATATTGCGAACTGCATCAACACTTTTATGTTGCAGTTCCCTTTTTATTTTAGCTTTTTAGTATCCTCGACCATTTTAAAATTAAGCAAGCATCCAATATTGTTACACTGGGTTTATACATGCGCAGAAAGCCGTTTTTCTAGCTCAAAACATGATCTTTTACAGAATTGTGTCGCAAAAGTCACTCCATATTCAGAGAGGCGGGGCCGTGCGCACGAGCACGAGCCCACCGCCGCAACGTGAGGCGCGAATCCGGGAACATGGTGTTTTTCTGGAGCTCCGCCACTCCCCATCCAAAACAACAACAGGGACTAATAAAGGGGCACTGTGACATTCAGGGATTTAACTATAGGCGTTTTTTACATGCAGGGAGCCAAAAAAGTTTTACTTAAAGGGATAGTTCACCTAAAAAATGAAAATATGTACTCCTTTTCTCCCTCGTGTTTCCAATCCTTCCAAATCATTCAGTCAAGTTTATTCAGTTTAGTAAGCCCTAAATACGAAATAATTGTCATTTAAAATTGTTGTAACCAGGGATGTTGCTTGACATAAAGCTCTACTGGGGCGA